GCACTATTCCTCCCCCCACTGACGCCAACGATGGGGCACTATTCCTCCCACTGATACCAACGATGGGGCACTATTCCTCCCACTGACACCAATGATGGGGCACTATTCCTCCCACTCATACCAATGATGGGGCACTATTCCTCCCACTCATACCAATGATGGGGCACTATTCCTCCCACTCACACCAATGATGGGGCACTATTCCTCCCACTCATACCAATGATGGGGCACTATTCCTTCCACTGACACCAATGATGGGGCACTATTCCTCCCACTCATACCAATGATGGGGCACTATTCCTTCCACTGACACCAATGATGGGGCACTATTCCTCCCACTGATACTAATGATGGGGCACTATTCCTCCCACTGACACCAATGATGGGGCACTATTCCTCCCACTGACACCAATGATGGGGCACTATTCCTCCCACTGACACCAATGATGGGGCACTATTCCTCCCACTCATACCAATGATGGGGCACTATTCCTTCCACTGACACCAATGATGGGGCACTATTCCTCCCACTGATACTAATGATGGGGCACTATTCCTCCCACTGACACCAATGATGGGGCACTATTCCTCCCACTGATACCAATGATGGGGTACTATTCCTCCCACTCATACCAATGATGGGGCACTATTCCTCCCACTGATACCAATGATGGGGCACTATTCCCCCACTGATACCAATGATGGGGCACTATTCCCCCCACTGACACCAATGATGGGACACTATTCCTCCCACTGACGCCAATGATGGGACACTATTCCTCCCACCGACGCCAATGATGGGACACTATTCCTCCCACTGACGCCAATGATGGGGCACTATTCCTCCCACTGACGCCAATGATGAGGCACTATTCCTCCCACTGACGCCAATGATGAGGCACTATTCCTCCCACTGACGCCAATGATGGGGCACTATTCCTCCCACTGACGCCAATGATGGGGCACTATTCCTCCCACTGACACCAATGATGGGGCACTATTCCTCCCACTGACACCAATGATGGGGCACTATTCCTCCCACTGACACCAATGATGGGACACTATTCCTCCCACTGACACCAATGATGGGGCACTATTCCTCCCACTGACACCAATGATGGGACACTATTCCTCCCACTGACACCAATGATGGGGCACTATTCCTCCCACTGATACCAACGATGGGACACTATTCATCCCACTGACATCAGTGATGGGGCGCTAGTCCTCCCACTGCAAAATTACAGTTATGAAGTAGCAACGAAAATAATTTTATGGTTGGGGGTCACCACAACATGAGGAACTGTATTAAGGGGTCGCGGCATTAGAAAGGTTGAGAACCACTGGCTTAGAGCTTACACATTCCCAAAACACCAGTGAGCCACCACCACCATGCTTCACATTTGGGATGGTATTCTTGTTGCTCTTGACCCCTCTTCAAACATAGAGCTTATGGTTGTCACCATAAAGCTCTATTTTGGTCTTGTCACTCCAGATTACAGTGTGCCAGGCACTGTGAGGCGTATCAAGATGTTGTCGGGCATATTGTAATCGGGCTTTGTTGTGGCATTGGTGAAGTAAAGGCTTCTTTCTGGCAACTGGACGATGGAGCTAATTTTTGTTCAAGTATCATTGTATTGTGCTCCTTGCAACAACCACACCATTTTATTCCAGAGCAGCCTGCATTTCTCTTGAGGTTACCTGTAAGTTTTTTCTTTGTATCCTGAACATTTCTTCTGGCAGTTGTGGCTGCAATTTTTCTTGGTCTACCTGACCTTGGCTTGGGATCAAGAGATTCCCAAATTTTCCACTTCTTAATAAGTGATTGAACAGTACTGACTGACATATTTAGGGCTTTGAATAACTTTTAATATCCCTTTCCATCTTTATACAGTTTCATTACTTTGTTATGCAGGTCTTTTGACAGTTCTTTTCTGCTCCCTATGGCTCAGTATCTAGCCTGCTCAGTGTATCAACAGGAGAGCCAACAAACTCTTTGACTATTTATTCACAGACACTAATTGCAATTTAAAAAGCCACAGAAGTGGGAAATTAACCTTTAACTGACATTTTAACCTATGTGATAATAAATGGCTTCATATGATCACTATCCTTAAAAAAAAACGTTTTTTGGCATGATCAGTCATATTTTCAATATCAATGCCAAAATTTCACGATTTCTGCCAAGGTATGCAAACTTCTGAAATTTAAACTGAAACTGACTTTTTATGAAAATCAGAACTTCCCCCATGGGCCCTGGACAATCACTTATTCTGCTGTAGTACAAGCACAGTAATGATTCCTGGGGGGTCAAGTACTAATTTGGAGAACCTAGACTTAGAATTTTTGGCAGGGAATGGTATTTTTGTACTGAACTAGCTATGTTTTACAGCTAAGGTCTCAGTAAAAGCTTGAGACCTGTCATCATTAGGGTGCTAGCTATTTTTGTTTATGGGAGCAATAAATGACTGCCAGACTACCCAAACCCCATAATGGTTTGACATGGGTATCGCATCCATCTTAGTCCTTGCTGCCACCATAACTACTACGCTATTTTTCCATAACATCTCTTCATTCCCATAAATAAGAATAATATTCTAACTGTTAAATTATAGATCAAACCAAATTAACCCTGTGCAATGTTTGAAAAATAAATTAAATAATATTAGGGAAATTAGCTTGATTTTACATTAAAATGCTTGCTCTAACTTTAAATGTAATAAACCATTTTTGCATTGCTAATAGAGTTTTTTGAATATTTTTATGTGTAAATTGTTGCTGAATACCCTACAGCAATACATGTTACTATAATTTATTGGAAATATTTAATATGCTTTTTCTCTGGTACTATTTACTCTGCCCACAGCACAATATAGAACAGTATGATAATATGTTTCAGAATATATTACCTTAGTTAATTGAAGGTGAAAAGATTATGCTTTGTGAAAACTCTGCTTTTTAACTGCGTCATTTTGTGCATTATAATAATTACAAGTATTTATGACAATTTAACTGTTGTTATTAAAATAAAATGTTTAAACCAACAGGCTTGCATTAATATCCCCTTATGTGCCAGCATTGGTGCCTGGTTATTGGCCCAGCTCTATCACATCAGAGTGGAAAGTCCCAAGCCTGGTGAGATCCTTGACTAGAGTGTAAAGCTTTTATGAGGCCTGGTTTCTCTTTCCTAGTGACTGAATGGATTGGCAGAGAAGTGAAGGAAATGTAAATATATAGTTCAGGAGGGTGGGGGCAGTTACCTCAAGTAATTTGCACTGTGTGTGTCCTAAAGTCAATTTTCACTTTCAGATGTTTTCATTACTCTAACTAGGTATCAGTGTAATTATATTCCTAGTGCTGTTTATTTGCCTTACCTTGTAATAATGGGCTCACATGTTGTTACTGAAGTTTTTGATGTCATGGCTGATCAATTCCCCTATGCCCATGTATTGCTTTAGCTAGCTGGTCCCTATGCACTAAGGGGACAGGATAACTTCATACATCATCCAATGCATCCCTTGCCATGCCTTCTGTGTTGCATCACAAATATGGAAGTGCTGATGTGATGTGAGCTCTCTGTGTGTCTGTAAATGCTTTGTTTGTTTGTTTGTTTCTTTCTGTGTCAGATCAAATTACTATTTAGATCTCATCTGCAACAGTACTAAACTAAGAGACCCAGGGATGGTGGGATATGTACTTTCTTCACAGGAAGTGTCAGTTCTCAGACTATAGACAGATGGCATGCATGAACCTGTGCAGTACCATGCTGCATGCCTCATGTTCACAAACTGAAATTTTTGGCACTATAGGTTGTGTATACAGGCCAACAAATGACATCATGAAATTACATCACCAATACACATCTTATTCAGGTGGAAAACACATGGAACTCATAGGTAGGTTTATCATGCATTTAATATTTATTTTCAGTATAACACTTTTATGTTGTATATTGTATTCCAAAACATATGCAAATGCAAAATAAGGGAAAAAGGGGTAATTGTAAGCCTTTAGAGTATGAAACTTTAATCAGTATTTGAATAAACGTTTAGCTACAGATATGACATATGTTATATCAAAAACAGCATTGAATAAGGTGGACATAAATGGACCAGGATTTGTATGCAATGTTCCCAGTTTTGGCCATCAGTTGTGATGATCTTTTCTGAATCCCTAGGGAGCAATAATGAAAGAACCTGATCCTTTTATTTGCTTTAAAGTACCATGTGTACAGGGCTGTCTCCATCAGCTGTCAAAGTGGGTCTCACCTCTCGTGTGATTCATTTCATTCTTGCAATCAGAAAGTAAGGGAAAGTATAGTGATCACATATTTTGAGTAATTTTAGTTGTTTTATATTGATATCATTTTATCTGTTTTCTTTTTTGTACCTATTTTGCATGAAAAATGTAAACAACAGTATTGTCCATATAGGGGCTTGGTTGACCAGTCAGGGATAATAGTAGAAATAGTAAAGCACACCAGGCATGATATGGATAACCAATAAATAATTAAAAACCAATATAAAGATGGATTAAATAACCCATAAGCAAAGTCAATGTGAAGGTTTGGGCACCAAATTAGAAAGGAGGGGCTGGGAATGACCACGGATCAAGGTAGAGACAGGACATAGAAAGGAATGCTACCAGGAGGGGGACAGGATAGCAAGAGAAGGGAGAAGTGTGAGGGGTCAGAAGGGGAGAACAAGACCCCCCTACCCAAGGTCACAAGGAGGGTGGAAAATCAAGGCTAGAAAAAAAACAGGGGAGTGCATAACGTTTCCCAGATCTTGAGGAATGTTGATTGTGAGTCAGTAAGGATACTGGAGAGCATCTTATTAACAAGAAAGGATGCATGCATATTTTAAATTCCAGTAGTCAACTCTGGATTTCTTATAAGCTTTGGCTATGACATGCTTCTTTTCTAAAAAAAAAAATGAAAAGTAGCAAGTGTTTGTTGGAGATTAGTAAGACCCAGAATTGAATGGTGTAATGACCCATTCACGCAGTGCAGGAAACCTACGTTCCATGCGCATTTCCTGCATCGCATTCAAAATGCACTGGGTGTGCGATCTGCACAGGGTGTTAATGTATACCTAACGACACCACAAATGCAGATTGCAAACACAGTAGGTTTGCCTGCACTGGATTGTATGGTGCTGCAATACTATTCAATTCTGTTGCAATACATTTTGGTACATGCACTACTTTTGGTGCGATCCAGTTCAATTTCAGCCCCTTCAAATGAATGGGCTGAAAAGGGCACCACACTGTATTGCACAATGTGAACTGTGTTCCTGTCCGAATCAGGTGTGAACCGACCCTAAGAGGGCAATCCTCAGGTTCTTTGCAACTTTCACATTTTGAAATGTTTGCATTTCTATGTGTTTTTTTGTCTTAAATATAGCAATTTAACAACAATGTAACTTTTTAGGCTCTCTTTATTTCTGGTGGGACTACAATATATCATTAAAAACAGGGTCCAAACGTCAGCCAGCGTCTATAAATAAAACAAACTTATTTTATTTATTCACATTATCATCAAATTAAAAAGGAAATTGACAAGTATTATCAAAATATGTTAAATCCTATTTTTTATAAGCATATCATGAAAGTTCACTTTATGGTCCTTTGGACTCTTTTTCAGTATATTGATTATAAAGTCGGGGTTCATCATAACTGTTATAACTGTATAAAAGTTAACTGTTTAGTGACTTGCTGTTTGCTCTGTAGGGGTTACATTTTTACCCTTTTCAATTTAGATGGTGGAGATATTAAGTATTTATGGTTTGTGTCTTTAAATAATTTGTACTTAAGCTACTAGAATCAACACTTGCGCTTGCTCTTTTTCTTAACAATTTCTTATTCAGATGACTTTTGTTGCGAGAAGGAACATTAAAGCAAAATTTTGGGATAGTAAGTCAAGCAGAAAGCAGAGTCTGAACATGTAGCCAAATATGGTTTCAGCCTAAACATATCTATTATATTTACATATCTAGGTGGGTGCTAGGATTAGGTAGATAGGATTAGTTATGTTTTGATAGATAAATTTAATTGTCACTGTGTAGGCAGAGTGGCTGTAATTATTACTAGGTAAAAGTATAGTTTGCTGCTCACTGTACTGAGTGAGCTGTGATCATTTAGTGAGGTCTGCTCTGTGTGCTCAGGTGCTGATAGTCTGCCTAACTTCCTCTGTATCCAGAAAACTGCAGAAGTTTTTGGATGATAGATGTGGAGTTATGCAGATGGCAGCATGAATATTGATACAGCCTCAGCCTATCCCAGAGAGAGGGTCTCCAAGGCATGCTGGGTAACTGTATATATTCACTGAGCACAGAGTTCTGGGTCTTTCCTGGATAGGTTTACCCAAACCTGCAAAAGAGCATGTTGCCCTCCCAGGCAGCTGCTGCCTTATGCCTCCAGTAGGCTACCTGAAGGCCTGAATTGCTGAGACCCAGGTTCTGCTATGCTATCTCCTGAAGATCTGGTCTAATATCATGGAGAAAGGTGTCCAGCTGCTCTTCAGCCCTGTGTGTACAGACATCCGTAAGGATCTTAGAAACTGTGTGCTGTTTAACCCCCTCTGGTGCTAGGAAGACAGATGAGGGTCTAGAAAGGGAATGCTGGCTGGTATTACGAAGAGCTTTGCCCATCTGTCCATTACTACTTAAAGGGACGCTGCTCTGAATAAGAAGTTACTGCTGTACTACTTGTTACTACTACTTAAAGGTGAAGTTTACCATTTGATTGACTCTGATATAGCTTGTTCTGGAGATAAAACAAAGTCCCCGATGGACAAAGTTTCTAATTTGGAGTATCCCACTCATCTTCCTCATCCCTATCCTAATTCTTCAAAAGTAAAAACAACAAAAACAACACCCCTAGACTGATTATTGGAGAATCATGTGAATGGCCCTTTGTTCCTGGCTGCAGGGCAAAGTAACTGAGGAGGACCTGGTGTTTTGGCTGTTTTGCTACCACACTTATTTACTTGGTTCTATCTAAGATTATAAATGTAATAAGTGATTACAACCTTTTGTCTATACATGAATTCAGCCAATCCTCATGTGGCTATTACCAATAAAGTTGATAGCAAAGGATAACAACTGTGCAAAAAATAAAGATCTAATTTATTTACACAGAAGAAAAGTAGTTACTAATCAAATCAAACAAAAGATATATTACAAAAAAATAATTGATGTTACAGTATAACATACAGTATATTATCAGTATAGAGAGATGACTATAGGAAAGAAAGTTATAGAAAAGAAATAGAGCAATGCTGATACATTACACAGACATCCTGATGTTCTGAGGTCTGGGCTCCGGAAAAGGACTAAAGGGACATAGAGGCAGAACTTTATACCCCCTCCTTTCCAGGTAGTCCTACCCTTCAATAGGTTCCAGTGTTTTGCCATTTCTGTTCAAAGGGGGGCTCTGTGATTTGTGAAAGACATTGGCCAACTGTAGTTCATCAGATGGAATTTAGGATGGACCAATGAAGCATACCTTCTTTGAAGCCAGATACTCCCTAGGAGGTGTTAGAAATGACGGCTCCAGGGCTTATTCAGCCAGATGGGGGGTGTTGAGGTGATGCAACAGATGGTAAATAAGGTACAGGAATTGAGACCCCTATCAGAAGTTCACAATAATATTAAAAATTATTGTAGGCCCAAAATATCTATCACACTGGACAATAATGTTTTCCGGTTTCCCTACTCCTAACTACACATGACTATGCACAATTCCATTCTTTGTAATTGTCCCTGTTTAGACTTGTATGCTCAGTTGCCCTATGCACTATGCCATACACTCAAAAAAAAAAAAGCCATGAGCATTTTTGAACCCATAGACTTCAATTGGAATGCCTGTAACCATGCAATATATGTATTTTTGCAGTCATTTTCACAACTGAGGAAATCCTCTCCTTCTATAGAACTGCTCTCCTCCCCTTGACCAGTCCTGGAAACAAACTCCTGAAGCTTGATACATGTGCAAAAATGCCTCTAACATACCTGTAAAGTGCGTGAAAAAAATGCTTCAAAATATAATATATGCTTATTCAAACAGTTATCCTACATTGAAAAAGGGGCCTTACCCTGGAACACTGGCCATATTAGGATAATTCTAAAAATGAATGAATGAAAGCTTAATTCTGTATTGGGTGAGATATGTTGCTAGCATGACGTTTTGATGGGGCCACCCATCATATCACTACAGCACCCTATGACAGAGCAAGGGCATCACCCTATATAGTGTGTGATTTATGCATTATTTCATTTTCAACAAAGCACTCTCTGGCTGAAAGCTTATCTCAACATTCATTAAAGGGTAACTCTATTTTTGTGGAAAAAATATAGCAAATAAAAAATATTATAGCATATACAGTTGCTAGAAAAGCTATACTGTAATTTACTGTTGCAATTTTCTGTAAAATTCAATGCAATATGGCAACCTGAATACCTTTAGTTGGTGTACAGAACTTCCTGCTTGTCATTTCCTGCTTGTGTGATTAGCTCGTTCATTTTTCCCAAAGTGTGCACTAAGATACGAGACAGATTTTGGGTAAGATTTGGTTATATACTCCCAATTACTTAATTACTTCTAAAGAGAGAACCTATAGACCCTGCAACATTCTTCATTAGAACACTACAAGTGCAAGTGCATAAACTGATTAATAATGAAAAAGTCACTCCTATTCAGATTTACACAACAAACAGCTGTTTCTTCAGAGCAGAAACAGGAATCTACAACAATGTTTATAAAAAAAAAACATTCAATGTTCATTGATCACCCAGGGAGGATTGTTTCAACTTTTGTTCTCAGTAAAAGTAGAGTTACACTCTGAACAAAATCAGATAAAATCCATCCAGCTCCCTCTAATGCAGTGGTTCTCAACCTTCCTAATGCCGCGACCCTTTAATACAGTTCCTCATGTTGTGGTGACCCCCAACCATAAAATTATTTTCGTTGCTACTTCATAACTGTAATTTTGCAGTGGGAGAAGTAGTGCCACGTCATTGGTGTCAGTGGGAGGAGTAGTGCCACATCATTGGTGTCAGTGGGAGGAGTAGTGCCACCTGCCTGGAGACGTATAGAGGAGTGGTATCTTGGTTCCTAAGACCATCGGAAATATGTGTTTTCCGATGGTCTTAGGCGATCCCTGTGAAAGGATTGTTCGACCCCCAAAGGGGTCATGTCCCACAGCTTGAAAAACTGCTGCTCTAATGGTTTGTCTACAAATCTGCACATTTCATAGAATAAAAACATGTAAAAATGTAAAACTTCCATGTAATATCCTGCATTCATGTGGAAGTATGATACTTTAGTTGAATATATGTCATGTTACTTTATCCTTAAAGTATTTCAAAGACTGTAATATAAAAGTAAAATTTATAAATGAAACACAAATGATGCAGCGCTACTACCATAAAAATTCTTCACACATAAATTAATTGCCCTGATGAAGTCATGTGACGCACTTCCGGTCGGACGCCTTCTTTATTTACATTGGACACCCATGCAAGTACATCTGATCTGAGGTTTGATTTACATGTAATGTACAAGATGATTTTAAATGTGAGCATATTCGATATGTGATACTTTGTTTGGTGAATAAATAGTTTTACACTATGCAAGCATTCACTTTATATTTTCTGAGGGATCAAGTGGCTGCAGCCACCTTATGTGCCTGAAGAGGGGATCTGCTGCCCTGTGAGCCTGTACTGGAATCTGTACATGAGGGGAGGTCAGTGTGGAGAGCTGTGGAGGATTACCTACTATTACGGGTCCATGTGTTAGTGATCCTGAAGGCCTTTTGACCCTGTGCGGGTCGCAAGAGGGAGGTGAGCGGGCAATTCAGCCATTTTTGGATATCTCTGCACATTTATCAGCAGATTTTTTTTTTTTTTTCAAGACTTGCTGTGGACTTTATATATGTTTTTTTGTACATTGTCAGGTGTTTTTCACCTCATGAGACTTTATATATTTATTCATTTATTCATGTTTGTTTGCATGATCAGTTTTTAGTTTATGCGTTTATTGGGATGCACGTGTGTTTTGTGTTATATGGTGGGAACTGATTTTTAGTTCCGGTGGGAGGTTTTTTAGCACATTGAGTCCTGTTGTGACTTACTTGTTTGTTTGGAGCACTATTTGATCCCACTGGATTACTTGGGGCACCATTTATGTTATTTGGTCCTTTTAGGACCTTGTATTGACACCTGTCACACGTGATTGTTTGGCACTATTTAATATTGTATGTTATGTTATTTGTGTCACCAATTTTGCACTGTTTCACTTATTCATTTATGTGTGAAGAATTTTTTTATGGTAGTAGCGCTGCATCATTTGTGTTTCATTTATATATTTTTTGTCTATGGGTATATGACTGTATGTAGCAGCTTTACCTTTGTTGGTAGGTATTAGTTTTTTTAGGTAGGAGCGCAGGAGTTTGTCACATTTATAAAAGTAAAATTGTATTTACACTGAACACTGAGATAATAACTTAAATATGTGTTAACTGCAATTGACTTGATCCATCTATACTCTGTTGGAAAACATTTTTTTCCAGAAAATAAGTATATCACTTCTGATGTAGAGTAAAAATGGTTTAAGAGAAGACTCTCAGGCTTTTTAGACCAGCCTTTCTCAGCCAGGGTTTTGTGAAGGTGAAGGTGCTGGGGATTTGCAGTGGTGAATTGATGACTCATCTATACAGATCACCAATACAGGGGGCACTTTTTGAATAGCCACCAATGTAAGGGGTCACTGTCCACATATGTTAGCAAACACCACCATTTTCACTGTCTGATTTCTTTTCTGTTATTATTCATTTCACTTGGACATTATTATAGAAAATAATTTTGACCTTTACACTACATGGGTGTTAAAAAATGATTTGCCCTGGGTGTCAAATGCCCTAGGACACCACATTACTTATTCATTCTATTTTACATTTTTCACAACTGAGCACTCTACAAAAACACAAATTGCAGGTATATTCACTAACAGTGGTTCCCCTAGACCTAATAATGAATTCAAGTTTTACCTTGCAGTAAAAAGGATGAGAAAGACTGCTCTTGACTGACCAAATTATCCAGCAAGCAAAGATCAGAGTCTTATCATCAATGTTTTAATAAAATGACAAAAATTTGAAAAGCCAACAGTATATAGAAGATGCTATGAGTCTCTTCTCACAAGTAAACACGCTAAGGAAAAATAGCTACAATGGATAAATATAATATGAATCATTTTATCTTCTTCATTGATCAAAATATCATCTAGGTTAGCTAAAATACATCTGAATCACTTTTGTGATACTATTGCGTAATAAAATTAACGCTCATTGCTTTAATGTATAACTGTAATAAAAAAAAAGTGACACAATAACTTCGGGTAACTCCCAACATGGGCCTGGGGTTCTTCTGTACTAATGAGCTTTGTATGTGAAACAGAAAGGTGAAGGAAGACACAAGCAGATCAGTAGGGAGTGAAGAATGATGTTCATATGATAGGTGCTATATGAGATAAAAGCATAACCCTATGCTGGAACAACCTGGAAGGAATTTTTATGTTAGGAAAGGAAAATACATATGTCAAAAACAAACATCTTTGTGTCTTTAGTAACGTAAAAGAAAATGGTCTAAACTAGAATAGCTAAATTATTTGGTAAAGTTTGGTCTTATTTCTGGCTTGAAAAATATGGCCATTTAGCTAATAGGAATGTTTGGATTTTGTTAATATTCTTTATTTAATGCAACAAATGATATTAAAATAATACTAACATATGATTGTCCATTAATGGGTCATTATTACATAATAATACAAAAATAAGATAAAATAAATAAAAGATAGAACAAATTAAATTATATATCCAGTGGGTCTGCTTAGTTTAATAGCTTAGAATTCTTTACAGATTAAAACTGCCATATTCAATTATATATCATCTGTAGTATATGATGTATGTTGGGGGGGGGGGGATGCAATTGACCCTCCAAGGGTTTTCATTTTCTTTTTTATAAAGAAGGGACCTAAAAGAGAGAAAAAAAAAAGGAGAAAAGCGAAGAAAAAGAGGAAGAAAAAGAAGAAATCTTTAATACACTGTTGTGTACCACTATGTTTGCTTCCACATTCTCAGTCAATGTAAAATGGGCCCACTGTATCCATGTTTTCATAAAGCATGCTTTCTGTTTCCGCAACAAAGCTGTAAATTCTTCCATGTGCATTATATCATTTACTGTTCTAATCAAATGATGCACAGTGGGGGGAAGGGGGATTCCAATGTACTGGTATACAGGCCCCTTCCACGTTTAAAAGATCTCCTACTAGAGAATGTTGACATTTTCATTTGGAAAGAGGGCTAAGGTGTAGCAAACAGGCTGCCAGGTCATGGACAAAGAAAATGTCCATAAGATCTTCAATCAAAGCTCATACATTCTGCCAGT